ATGCAGTGTATTATTTGTTGAAAAAAAATAAAATAAAAAAAAATAAAGTCTCTGAGCTGAAGAAGACTCCTAGGTACAAATACATTAAATAAAAAGACCCATGTGAAACAGTAGATGCAATGGATATACTGAAGGTTTCTGGAGGGATAAAACAGCTCACCTAGCAAGCATGAATACAAGTAGATACACACTGGATTTTCTAACACCAAAACTTGTTAATACGCTATTGAAAAAATGCCTTAAAACTTAGAAAAATAATTTAGAAGGACTTGTCTGAAAATGAGAATCCAGTATGAGGGTATCATAAATATTTTGAGGTTAACCACAGCAATTAGACAAGAGAAATAAATAAAAGGAAAAGGATAGGAAAAGATGAAGTTACATTATCATTATTCACGGATGACATGATACATGATACATACAAAACCCGAAAAACTACACTGAAATACTTCTAGATTAAAAACAAAATTCAGTAGCATAGCTGGATACAAAGTCAACACTCAGAAATCAGTATCATTCCTGTACATAAACAACGATCTCACTGAGAGAGAAATTACAGAAACATTTTTTATAGTAGCATCCAAAAAAAAAAAAAGAAATATTTAGGAATTGATCTAACAAAATAAGTAAAACATCTATACAGTGAAAATTATAGTACTCTGAAAAGAGATTGAAGAGGAGATAAAAAAAATTGAAAAATATTCCTTGTTCTTGGGTAGGAAGAGCTACCATTGTGAAAATGGCCATATTCCCAACAATTTTAGATTTAAAGCAACCCCAATCAAAACTATCACCAGCATACATCACAGACCTAGAGAAAATATTCCTAAAATTCATTTGGAAACAGAAGAGACCTAGAATAGCAAAAGCAATCCTGGGAAACAATGGAAACATAGGACGTACATAATCCCAGGTTTGAAATTATACTAAACAGCTACTGTGGTAAAATCAGCATTGTACTGGCAGGAAGAAAAAGAACCTGGCATCAATGGAGCACATTAGAGGATGCAAACAAAATACAAACACACGCAGCCACCTTATTTTTGATGAAGGGTCAAACATATTTACTGGAAGAAAGATAGCCTCTTTAACAAATGGTGCTGGAAAAAAACTGGCTTTCCCCATGCTGAAAACTACCACTACACCCATGTCTATCACCATGCACTAAATTATAGTCAAAATGGATCAAAGATTTAAATATTAAAACAGAAACACTAAATCTAATGGAAGAGAAAGTAGGCAGAAATCTTGAAGACATAAGGGTAGGTAGAGAGTTCATGAAAAATCAAACTGCATGGGAAATACTTCAAATAACAACTGGAATCTCATTTTATTAAAAAGTTTTTGCATATCAAAAGAAATCACCAACCGAGTAAAAAGAAAACAGAGTGGGAAAAATGATTAATCAACTGTCCTTCAGACAAAGCACGTCTATCTAGAACATATAAAAACAATGAAAATCTCAGACCTCCAAAATTCAAACACCCAATCCAAAAATGCACACCTGAGATGAATATGCTCTTCTCAGATGAAGAAATGCATATAACAAGAATATATGAAAAACTGTTTAACATCATTCATTATTCAAGAAATGTAAATTAAAACAACACTGAGATTCCATTTCACCACAGAAAGAGATGGAATCTCTTAATCTCAAAGAGACTATCATCAAGAAATCACCAATAACAAATGATGGAGGGGCTGTGGGGGCAAAAGGAATCCTTCTCCACTGTTGGTAGGTGTGTAGAGTGGTACAGCCACTGTGAAAATTAGTGTGGAGATTCCTCCGAACACTAGGATTAGAGGTCCCATTTGACCCACATATTCCCCTTCAGGTTATTTTCCCAGAAGAATTAATACATCTTACCACAGAGATATGCATGCACCCATGTTTATAGCAACACAATTTGTAACAGCTAAATCTTGGCAACAACCCAAATGCCCAATAACTGATAAAAGAATATGGTATTTCTTTTATACAATGGAAAACTATTCAGCTATAAAGGACAAACTCAAGGCTTTTATAGGTAAATGGA